CCTTTTGGGGGAAAAGACGAGCATGTCTCCAAGAGGCCGTGTTTGTGTGCCAGCAAAAGGCGCGACCCTTGGTCCGGCTCCCAACTTCTAGAGCCGAGTTCTGGTGGAAGTTTGATTGCCCTCCCCGACTCTGTTCCTTACAAAACTAGGTTGATTGGTAATCAGCAAACTGTGTCCCTGAGTGTTCAGAAATCATAATCTGTGTCCTCAAGAGGCCAGAGTGACGGCTGGGGGGTCTGAGATGAACGGCCGCTTCTGGCCGTGAGCAGGCTTTTAAGTCATTAGGACACCCTGGTCTTGCCACGGTGGTGATCTAAAGAGCGGTTCCTGTCCCTTCGGAAATTAGTTAATGCTGGGCTCGATTTAGAGAAAATTGGGGGAGATGATTGCTCACGGAGGTGACAGGGAACATGCCCTGTGCGGGGGTCTGTGCAGAATTATCCATTGGCAGACCTGGGCATCCAAGGCACGTGGCACTTTGCAAACCCCGGACGTGGCCCCAAGCATTCACGTGGGTCGCGGGCCAGGTGGGACCCCCTATAGCTCCCTGCTGCCCCTGTGGGACAAGGCAGGGGTCCTGGGGCCTCTGCTAGGAATTCTGCAGTTTATTCATTGCACCGGAGGCGGGGGTAGTGGGCAAAGCCAGGACCCTGGAGCTGGACAAACGTGTGTGGTTTAAACTGACCTTGACAGCTTTGAGTCTGTCTTCTGGGGGGGACAATGGCACCCACCTCGCAGGGCTGTTGTGAGGACTTTTGTAACCAGGGCTTTGAACTGGGATTCTGAAGGCGGTGCGCGTGCCCCCGGGGGGCTGTGGGCTGGGGGCTGGAAGGCGGGAGGGGCAGCCCGACTCAGCAGGTTAGAGGAAAATCACTTTGCCCAACATGCAGGAGGCATTGTGGAATAGAGAGCTCAATTTGTAGGACACGGTAAGCTCAGACAGGAGTAATTTCCGCAGGGACCTTCATGCTGGGGGGATGGGAGCCTCTTTGGGCAACACCTTTGGCCCCCCCCGGGGTACGCGTTCACCCTCACCTCTGTAAAAGGTTGGAAGCACCCGCTGTGTCTCGCCTACCGCTGTGTCTGGCCTGTGGGCGGCACTTCCACATGTCCCCCTGCAAGAGACCTCTCCTGGCCGTGTCCTCCCTCCCGAAACATTAGGCATCAGCCATCAAAGACACTGCGATGTCCCCTCTCTCAATTAACAACAGCTGGGCTCAGATGCCAGCAGCCCGGATGCCTAACACAGTACCAAGCCAGTGGTAGGGGTCGCCTTCCAGTTTTGTTGAACGGATGCATGGGTGAATGGCCAAATACCGAATTGTAACCAAACGCAAGTGGCAGATGTTAAAAGCCTCACCAAGAGTTTGTATTTCCTCCTGATTAACCTGTTAACAATCGTTGTATTGTATCTTACGGACTCCTGTATGACGTGTGTTGTTTGAAAACCGGGATTCTCGTTTTGGGTGTCTTGCGGCGAAACCTTAGCTGTCTGTGTTTTGTGTTAGAAATCAGAGCCCGGCAGACCCCGGGGGCCACTTAACCGACTGGGCCGCGGTAGGCGAGCCCCCTTTCCTCTCTGACCCTCGGTCTCCTTTTCTCTGATGGGTTCCCAGAAAGCTTCCTCTGCTGGGTGGTTGTGAGGCCGAGGGCCGGGTCAGCTAAAACGCAGCTGATCAAACGCTGGCTCTCAGTGAGGATGGTTGTATATCGGGGGTTGTCTGGAAAGTTCCAAGCCCTTGCTGGTTCTCAGTGAGTAGAGAGTTTATGCTCAGATTGTATTTCAACAGTCAATGGAACGTATAAGACAGAGGCTGAGTGGTCTGCAAGTATTTAGCGAGTTGGCCCAGGGTAGATACTGGTTTGATTAATGAGTGACGGCTTCTTTCCTTCCTTGGAGCCTCCCCCACAGCCCCACTTTCCATCCTGGCTGCTGCTTCTCACATGGAGGTTGCAGCTGGCCTGGGTGGGTGACTGCTTTGAGTTTGCTGTACCTGTTGATGTCGTGTCTGGTTTTATGGGGGCTTCTGCAGACATCCGTGTGTGCCCTGAGTCGAGTCTGCTAGGCAGGGAGAGCTGGGATGGGTGAGGAGGGTGACATCTTTGAGGACAAAAGCTCCTTCTTCTACCCTTTAGGCAAAAGGCCTGTGATCCTGATTTCCTCACATCCCTCTTCCTTCTTTCTTGGGCTGTAAGGTGAAGAAATCGGTCTGGGGTCCCGTCTGCAGCCTGGAACCGAGCTGGGGTGGGGCTGTCAGCCACCACACCCTGCGAGCTTCCGTGGGCCCAGTTTCTAGATGAGGAAGTTGAGGTTCAGAGACACCTGGAGATCGGAGCCAGGAGGACACAGTCTTTCGTGAGGAGCTGGTGCTCCTTGACCCTGGCAGCCCAGCTCTCCAGTTACTTTGGCCGTGCCTGGCTGTGGTCCTGCAGGGGGCACAGGCCTCCAGAGCTCACTTGGGTGCATGTGGGACATGGAGGCTTGGCTGGGTTAGATAAGATATTATGGGATTATTTGGGGTTGGGGGGGTCTCATCAGGAGACCTCTGAGTTTTTCTTTCCTGGCTCTTGTTCTGCTCTGTCATCCCCAAACGCCATCCCGGGTGGGCTCGTTTTCTGTACCCCCAGCCTCCCTCTTGCCCTGTCCTCCCTCTGCAGAACCCTCACTGGCCTCCCCTTCTTTCTGCCTCCCGCTTTCACAGGCTCGGTGGCCCTCGCTGCTGTCAACCTGGCCACTTCTTGCAGCAGCCTGAGTTTTTATTGTGATGTCTGGCCTCCACCTCTGTGTACCTGCCAGTAGGAGCGCCAGCACACACACCCCGATATTCCCCTCCCTGGGGCTTTGCTGAGGGGGCCCTTGCTGTGTCACTGTTGCTGTCTGCCCCATGGGCATCTCACATCCTTGAGAACGTGCCTGAGCAGAGCGGGGGCCTTGCCTCAGTGCTCCCGAGGGGGCCCCACAGAAAGGACAGGTGGTTAGGACCCTTCTCCCAGAGGACTCGTGAGTCTTGTGTTCAGGTGTCTGCTCCCCGATGGGCCTCAGGCTCCTTGAAGCTTAGGCCTGTGTGTGACCCAGGATGAGGGACTCCCCTAGGGGCCCAGTGTTTACACATCACCATCCCCTTGAAATGGGCAGGGCTGGGTCCCTGTTTCCTGAGGGCAGGTGAGGAAGTTGAGGCTCAGTGGGGTCACAGCCAAGCTGTACTTGATCCTTTACTCTGACATCTATGCTTTTCTGGCCCTTGACAGCACTGTTAACTGCACTAGTGGGCGCCTAATAGATGCTCACTGACTGACAAGGCAGGGTTCCCAATGCACGTGAAGAACTGAATGGATTGTTGGCTGACCTGCAAGTTGAATCCATGTGTGTTTAAGAGGCGAGTGTGCTTTCTTGGCACAGACTCTAGGGGGCGAATCCTGAGGGTCTCACCGCCCCCCCCCCCCCGCCCCCGCAGGTGCAGCCCAGAGGGCAACCACTAGAGGGTCCCTCCTGAAGGAAATGTCTGTCTTCTGCCCATTTTTGGAAGCATTTATGTCTAGAATAAAACTTCATTTAGGCTAAAGTGTCCTCGTTTGTGTTGTGGCCCAAGGCATTTCGGTAACGTGGCCTTTGGTAATTCCCGGGCTGGAGGGATGCTCTGGTCATGCCCACACCCTCTCTGTGGTTGGCTGCGGGCCCTGGGGGTGTGGAGGTCTCCACCTGAAATGTCTTTGTCACCACCATTGGTGACAATTCACCTGTAAGGCACATGCCAAGTCTGAGATGCAGCTGTGGGCACCCAAAAAACGAGGGCTGGGGACTGGACTCCACACCTTGGTTCATTCCATCTGCTCTCACCCCCAAAGCACAGTACATGGGTACAAGTTGAAGGATGGGACTCTGGAGGTCTTGCTCTTTTGAATTCTGGTCCTGGTGTCACCTTTGGCTGGCACAGGGGCCTTGGGCAGGTTACAGGCACCTCGAGGCTTGATTTTCCCACCTGTAGAATGGGTGCTGAGGGACAGTATCCGTTCAAAGGATGCCGGTAAGCACCGAGTGCAGGCTGTGTGCCTTGCTGCACCCCATACGCTGGCTCTGAGAGTCATGGTCTGGGGTCGAGGCCACTCTGGTGCCTGCGTGTGTGTGGCCTGGCCAAGTTTGCTCACCTGTAACCTGGAAATAGTCATGTTTACTTGGCATGGTTATTGTGGGATTCAATGAGATTGTTTATGTGAAAATAAATGCTTTGTTACCTGGTGCACAGGTGGCCTCACCCCTTGTCCTCCGATGGGCCCTGGGTTTGGCCACAGAGCCCTGCAGCCTGTGGGCCCTGGTGGCAAAAGCCCCGTGCTCCCTGAACTACGGTGGCCCACCTGGCTGTGGCGCGGAGTGGAGGGCGTCAGGGAAGCACGCGGCCAGCTCTGGGGAGGAGTGAGGGAGGGAGGGTTTGCTTTTAAATACAGAGATTTCACAAGTTCAGAGGGGGTGGGGCTGAGGCCAGAGGTGGGGGTGGTGGTCAGGGAGACTTTTAGAACCTCCCACCCCCACCCCCCCACCGCCGAGGAAGAGGAGGCCAATACTTTAGAGAATATCCAAGTTTAATTGGCAGGGGTGTGGACGGGATAGCTGGGGTGGTGTTTAGAAAGGCCGAGAGTTCCGGATTCAGGGTCAGTGAGGTGAGAACTCTCAGAGGTCATGGGTGCAGGGGGGTGTCAGGACTAAGGGCACGCTTCTGGAAATCTCTGCAGGTGGGGGAGACTGCAGGGGGGTTGGTGGTGATGTGTGGGAGCCCCGCGGTTGAGGGGCACTAGGTAGAGGGGCAGGAGCTGGTGCCTGGGTGCTCCCCTGGCCCCCCATGGCTGCTGGGAGCCAGGGCCTTTTCCCCGAGTGGTCCGGTGGTGTTCAGTCCCGGGTGCCTCTCTCCTCTCCTCGCCCCCCGGCCTGCCTGTCTGCATGAGAACTCTTGTCAGCCAGTGAGACCGGGAGCAGGCCCCTTCATCTGCACCTGTGTCTCTCTCAGCCTCCGCAGCCACAGGGACACCCTGCACACGTTCCCGCGGGACAGGCCGGACCCAAAGACTCTGGACCAGGGCCGCCCCCTGCGAGGAGGGGCATGCCCTCCCGGCCTCTCCTTGCATAGCCACCCGCCCTCTGACTGATGGACTACACTGATCTGAGGCTCAGACACGTGGGCTGGACCCCTACCCACCCCTCACGAACCCTGAGACTTGGGGGAGCCACCGAGCCTTCACTGTCCACACCTGAGAAGTGGGCTCGGACAACCTACCTCACAGGGTTGTTGTGAGGAGCGAGTGATGCGGTTTGAAAGCGCCTGACTTGGGGCTTGGCACACCCTCTTGTGCTCTCAATAAATGTGTTTCTTGCCTTAACAAAAACAGTGATGGATGTGCTACTAATATGAGGAGGGCTGAATGTCGGGTGTCCTGTCTGGCTGGGGTTGCTCTCACCCAGGGCGTGTGGAGGGCGGGGAGGGCTGGGGAGCCAGCTCTGACCTTCTGTGGCTGATGTGTGCTGGGGTGAACTAACTCGGGCTGGTCCCCCTTCTTCTAATGGTTTGGGACATCAGGTTCCTTTCCAGAAAAGAATGTAGCTGGGGGGTGGAGGAAGTCTGAGCTGAGTGCAGCGTTGGGGGTCCCCGGAGCCCCAGGGGGGCTGCCCCCAGGCTGCGACTCTGCCTCCCCTCCTCCTGCACTCCCAGGGCCCTGCAGGGGCCGGGCAGAGCTGTCGTCCTGCTCGAACTGACGGTGAGTGTGTGGCCAGCCTGGTTGTGACCCGGGGCCAACGCTTGCTGCACAGCTGGGTGGGACCCTGAGGAGGCTGCAGAGGGGGCGCCTCAGACGCAGCCCCTGTTCCCACTGGCACGGGCGCTGAGCCTTGTGCCTCCGAGACCCAGCTCAGGAAAGGCAGGCCGTTGGCCAAATGGTGACAGTGGGGAGCCAAGGGCAAGGGAGCTGTGGACCCGAGTCCACACGGAGTCCTGGGGGTCAGCACACCTGGCTTGGCTGCAGCAGATGGACTGGACACGCAACCAGAGGGAAAGGAGAGGCTGACTTCTGCCACCGTCACCATCAACACCAAAAGCCACCACCACTGCCACCTCCATGACCTCCCCCTCCTTCCTCCTTCATCACCTTCTTGCTGGCTTCTCCTCCTCTCTCCTCCTCCTCTTCCTCTTTCTTCTCTTCTTCCTCCCCTCCTCCTCCCCCACGCAGGGAGGTGCCTCGAGAGAACTACAGGCGAGTCTCACCATGAGTGTGTGGGGCTGAGCATGGCCCCTTTGCAGAAAGAGAAAAAACCACCTTGGTGCCCATAGCCATGTGTCAGCCAAGGAGACTTGACCCCAGTCCCTGATGGAGACGACCACACCCATGGTGCAGAGTATGGTCCAGGCAGCATGGAGACAAGGAGAAGATGGCTTCTAGAGTGTGTCCCACTGAGATGAGTCTATCCTAGCCAAGGTTGGGCCAAGAGGCCAGGAGAGTCCTGCCTGTGGTGGACAGAGCCTCAGCCTCTCAAGACATTCAGATGTCCGTGATGAAGGGCCCCCTTGATGTTCCAGAGCCGAGACCCCAGCTCCAGCCTCCATTGAAGCTCAGATGTCCATGATGAAGAGCCCTCTAGATGTTCCAGATGTTCCAGAGCTGAGACCCCAGCTCTAGCCTTTGATGATGTTCAGATGTCCATGATGAAGAGTCGTCTTGGTGTTCCAGAGCCGAGACCCCAGCTCCAGCCTTTGATGAAGCTTAGATGTCCATGATGAGGAGTCATTTTGGTGTTCCAGAGCTGAGACCCCAGCTCAAGCCTCCGATGAAGCTCAGATGTCCATGATGAAGGGCCCCCTTGATGTTCCAGAGCCGAGACCTCAGCTCCAGCCTCTGATGAAGCTCAGATGTCCATGATGAAGGGTCCTCTTGAGGTTCCAGAGCCAAGACATCAGCTCTAGCCTCCATTGAAGCTCAGATGTCCATGATGAAGGGCCCCCTTGATGCTTCAGAGCCAAGACCCAGTTCCAGCCTCCAATGAAGCCCAGATGTCCATGACAAAGGGGCCCCCTTTGATGTTCTAGAGCCAACACCCCAGCTCCAGCCTCCAAAGAGGATCTTGATTCCAGAATGAGGGTCCCCTTGATGTTCCAGAGCCGAGACTGCAGCTCCAGCCTTTGATGAAGCTCAGATGTTCGTGATGAGTGGCCCCTTGATGTTCTAGAGCCAAGATCTCAGTTTCAGACTTTGATCAATCTCCTGCATCCAGAAGCAGAGTCTCCTTGATGTTTCAGAGCTGAGACTCCAGTTCTAGCCTTCGATGAAACATGAACATCCAGAATGAGGGTCCCTTTGATGTTCCAGAGCTGAGACCCTAGTTCCATCCTTTCATGAAGCTTGGGCATCCAGAATGAGGGGCTCTCTTGATGTTCCAGAGCCAAGACTCCAGGTCTGGCCTCCAGTGAAGCACAGATGTCCTTGATGAGTGGTCCTCTTGATGTTCCAGAGCCAAGACCTTAGCTCCAGACTTCAGTGTAGCTTGTGCATCCAGAAGGAAGATCTCCTTGATGTTCCAGAGCTGATTCCTCAGTTCCAGCCTTTGATGAAACTTGGGCATCCAGAATGAAAGTCCCCTCAATGCTCCAGAGCTGAGACATCAGCTCCTGCCTCTGATGAAGCTCAGATGTCCATGATGAAGGGTCCCATTGGTGATTCAGAGTTAAAACCTCAGCTCCAGCCTCTGATGAAGCTCAGACGTGCAGAACTGGTGAGAAAGCCTCAAGGCTTTCTTGGACAAGACTTTGCTTGGGCAGGACTGGGTGTATTGAGACTGGAGATGGCAGAGGAGACTCTGTTCTCCACCCATGGCCTGCAGCACTCCTCACTAGCCACACCCGAGGTAGCATTTGGACGCCATAGGAAGCTGGGTTCCAGATGCATTAGGAGAGGTGTGGAGTAGGGACTCCTGGCAGGAGGAACAGTGTTAGGAAGATCATGGCAGTCGAAATAATGGATTATGGGTGGTGCTGCTGACGAAGCTTGCCCATGAGAGTGTATCTGTGCAGCAAAGCACCGTTTTTTATGCCTTTTAGTTGTGCTGGACTCATGGCTGGCTGCACACCAGCCTTGACCCATGGGGCTGCCAAGTTGGCTGGACCCTGGAATGTAACCCAAGCTCGTTTCTGCGGCTTAGCTCCTCTCCCAGGGGAAGGTGCTAAACGCCCACTTGCCAGACTGGCGTGAAGCTGTGACCTTGGGGCGGGTCAGATTTGGTTGCCTCTTTCTAGCAACGGAAACTCATTGAGGTTGGGACTGAGACAGGGCCAGGCCATCATGATGGGTGTGAAGACAGCATGGGAGGCAAGGGGCGCCTCCAAATCCATGGGGACATGATGGCAGCTTCCCAGATGCAGCTGCCCTCTGGGCTGCGACTCTGCCCCGAGCACCTTGATGATAGCTGTGGTCCTTCGGGAACTCAGTTGACACCAGACTGTCCACTAAGCTGGAGAGAGATGACAATGAAAGAAAAAAGGCCAAAGATAATTGACTTTCTCAGAAACCATAAGAACTTCATGGGTGGATAGAGTCGAAGCTATGGAAAGTGTCAACTTTGGGAGAAGAGAATGCACAGGATCTGGATGTGCCGACTCCGAAGTCTCTAGACTGGGAGATTCTGAGAATCTGATATCAACAGTTATGCCATTGAGACACAGCTCCAATAATACATCCCAGAAACGGACTTATTTTATGCAGTTGGAGCCTGCAGGAAAAGGGAGCAGCTAGCAAGAGTTCTTGAAAAACACATCCTAACGATGCCAACATCATTTTGGTGTTATTTCCTGGAAATTCATTAGCATTTGGAACTATGCGCACAAAAACTTCTTTTATGAGTAACTGGAACTCCAGACCTGGGATGGAATGGAGGAAAAATGTCATCCTAGAGGACTGCCCTGCCCTACCCCCACCCTCATTTGGCCAAGTTATTTTAGGAGGTTTCCAAGAACAAGCAATTATTAGAATCACTCATTGCTGATTTCCTAGAAGTCCCCACAACAAATTCAAAGCCAAATGCAAACCGGGTGAGCCGGCAGGCTTGCAACGCTTGTGAAGAAATGTGGAATCTGCTCTATAAAAAGTCATCTGCTTCAGGGAGCAAGGCTCAGAGTAGGCATTAAGGATGATGGGTGGAAGTTCTAGGTCATTAGGCAGAGCCCCTGATTTAAGATAAATCAGAGACTCCTACACAGCCCCTCCCAGGAAGGTCCTCCAGCTCTGGGATGTTTCTGGAGTGTGCTAGGCATTGTGCTGGACTTGGGGAACAGATGAGTTAGATGTGCCCTGCCCTCCAAGTGTGAGAGGCCACATTCTCCCACCGTGGTCTCAGTGTGGAGGGCCTCCCTTGGAGCAGGGTTAGATGGCCAAGAGAGGTCTCCCGGTTAGCTCCCCTAGTTTCCAGACGAGGAACTGAGGCCCAGAGACCGGTTGTTTCCTTGATGGTAAGCCCAGCTCTCTCTCTGGGGGTCAAAATTCCCTCCCCCAGGCCACCTCTGATTTTACTGAGATTCAGGAAGAGCCCTGAAGGCTGAGTGGATGGTCTGCAGTCACCCATCAAGAGAGCAGAAGTAGGAAGCCTTGGCACTGGAGCTCCCCCCTCCTCGGGCAGGTTGATCGTGGTGGTGACATCCTCCAGGAGCCTGGCCCCAGCGCCACGCTGGAAGAGCAGACCAGGGGGAGCGAGGATGTGCGGGAGGGCTGGGCCAGGAGGAAGCCTGACTAGGAGTCTAGGGAGCCAGGCCCAGCCACAGTTTTCCCCACCTCCCCATCAGGGCCTCAGTTTCCCCATCATTCACTTTGTCCTTCTCCTGCTTGATGGAGTGGCTGCTGCTGGCCCAAATGGATCAGTGATGAGGAGCCTGGGGTTGCTGGGGGAGTGGAAGGTCACAGCTTCCTTGCTTCCCCGGAGCGACCAAATGGGGCCCCAGACTTCCCTGAAGCTTCCAGCTCAGCTTTTAGAGGAAGCAGGGGAGGCAGAGAGATGCCTGGGGCCGCAGGGTTCTTCTTACCTGCAGCTGCCATCCTGGAGCTGGGGGCTGCGGTGAGGCAGGGTCAGGTGGGCCCTTGGAAAACTTTCTCCCACGCTCCACTCACCGGAGGCTTGTTTTCGTGTGCCAGCCTGCCAGCAAGGGCCGTGCTCCTAGCAGTGTCCTCCGTGCACTTCTCAGGGGACACTTTGGGCTCTAGCCCTCTCTGCACCCTGCAGTCACATGGAGTCTTAGGGGAGGCAGTCCCAGCAGCAGGGAAAGCCCTCTGCGAGTGCTGGGCCCACCCATGGGTGGGCGGAAGTGGGTCAGGAGGAGGGATGGGCAGGGCAGTGGGGGCAGGACGGCGGCCAGCT